AAGACTATATTCGGGCTCGCTCGCTTCATTGTCCGCACTTGTACTTGACACGTCCCCAGCTTCATCACTCCCCTGTAGTGCATGCTCCTCCTCCTCTTGTTGCTGACCATAACGGGATGGAGGTTGGCGGTTCCGTCTATTTTTGCGTACCCCTGCTGCCGCTCCTTGCCTGTTGACAACCCCACAGCTATTTCCATGTCTTGCCACTCTTCTTCGTGGCATTGTGGGTGTGGTTGGGGTAGATAATGAGGTGTGCAGTTGTGGTGGTATGATTTTCGTTGGCAGGCTTCGCTGGGTAAGATGGTAGCCACCGGAAACGTAAGGTGAGAAGAGAGTAGGACAATAAAGACCACAGGAATGAATAATAAAGAACACGAGAATGAAGTATGTCAGCTGTCGAGAGCTTGGTGCTTCCGTGTTCGGGGATGATGGAGGGTGCATATATACCGGAGGGTCACAGACCCCTCCCTGGTGGACTATGACCCTGCGCTTGGCAACCGGTCGGCTATACCCTTTTCCAACAACCTCCGAGACGCGTCTTCATCGTTGAGTGGTTCCGGTCCGCTTTGCCTAATTGGCACTGGGTTCTCCAAACCCACCATTATATTTAGGCCCTGTTCGGCAAAAACGGGACAGTAAGCAACCGTTCCATTTTGTAATGGTTTGTTTGACAGAAATAGTTGCCTTCCGTTTCCTACCTTTTGTGAATGGAAACTCTACTGTATTTGACCTAGTAATTGACCTAGTAATTGACCTACTTATTATGACAGAGATACCCAATTAGTTCTTATCTTGAAAATTTGTCCTTGAACGATGTCTTGTAGGTGTTTTTCACAATCAATTCATATTAATGTGTTAAAACTGTCTATCTCTTCTGTATCAAAAATCACAATTTCAAATCTGTCCCAGCATTACGGCTTTATTGATTTTATTAACCTAGTTATTTGTTGCTATTAAATTGAGAAACAAAGAGGAAAGGTAGAAGTTCTAGATAGGGTGCAAAGAGGGTATCAATTATGTAGATAGGATATTGATATTAATTTACAATATTAGATTAATTTTGCAAATGCGGAGGGAATTTATTCTATTTGCTTTTAATTTTCTCTATATATATAACCTGAGGTTTAGGTACTGCTTGTGTAGGGCAAGAACGCTGTTCAAATGAAATAGACAGTTGTGTTGGTTGCCAAACACCCTGTTCCGTTTGGGACCTCCAAAACGGAAGAGAAAGGTCGTTTGTATAGGGAAACGGAAAGGAACAGTCGCAGCCGAACAGAGCCTTAGTAAAGAGGTACAGTACTGTACATGCCCTGTAATGAACAATAATCGCCGTCTTTGCAATAATATTATTACATGCCTAATTCTTGAGCCACAGCGAATCAGGGTATTGCAAACTCAAATATGATACCAGCTTTCCCCGGGAAACCCGCAGACAAGGAACATCATGAGTATGTCCATTTACATGGAAAGCAATTTCACTTGTCTTCTGACCTTACCCTCTTCAGACCACGATCGCTTGCTCTCCCACGTAGGGGGCCGAGCACTCTGCCAGGGCCCGCGGCAGTGAAACCAGAGCCGCTGCCGACAGACATAGGGGTTGCCTCGCGGAGTGTTGATTGGGTACTTGAGCCGACAGATGTCAGTAGGAGCTCCATGTGGTTCATCTCAATCCTGTTCTCAAGGAAGATGTAGAAGGTTGCACGCGGGAGCAGGGATTCCAACGTGGACTCGACCTTACCTAGCATAGTCTCTGGAGGCTTGAGGAGACGGAAGTAGTGACAGGCATCTGAAAGTGCTATGAGAGTGCGTTCAATGGAGAGGAGGTAGGTAACGAACATAGATAACCAACTATCAACCCACAAAAGTGCCCGAGAATGCTGGCTCCAGGAACTAAAATCGAGATGGCCACCAACCAGATGAGAGCCATCCATGAAGGTATACTATAGCAAGCAATAATACAAACCTGGTTAGCAACGCGCTCCCATAACTAGCTGTTGCAGGTGGAATACTTACGGGTCGCCTTCTCCAGAAACGTCTTCACCGCTTCACTAGCCATAAGAGTAAATACCAAGGCACTATGGCCCTCGAACCCTAGTTAGTAAACACCCCCGACCCACATTCGCATCCCACGAGTACTGGAATAGCGAAAACCTACCTTGCCTCAGTAGCCGAGCCATAAGCGCCAAGCTGGAAAACCCCGATACCAGCATACAATGCACTAGGGGATATCCAGAGCGCATGCCCAACCGCGCCCAATCAGCTGCCCGTCAGCCGACTACCTGCTCCCACCCATCCTCTCCACTGACATTGAGCAGAACCTACCACGGAGCACCAGCAACAAGGTCTCCAAAGTTCCCACCTCACTCCCGAACCTCTCAAGTAATGGGGCCTATGCAGGAGCTTTCAAAAGCGCATCTAAACTAGTGTTGTTCACGAGCCGGCTCGAGCCGAGTCCAGACATTGGACTCGAGCCGCCAAGAGGCTTGAGTCTAAAGTGGCCACGATACCTCTACACACTGCCATTATCACGCAAATCAACCAAAAATTGTATATAGCAACTTGAAAACAAATACAACTAGCCAAATGACCTTCCCACTATCCCGAGTCCAATTCCTGACTTGAGTCGGCTCGTGGACCCCTGTTCGAGCCGGCTCGCGCCTAGTGACCACCTAGGCTCGAGCCTAATGACCACCTAGGCTGGAGTCCACTGGGCTCGAGGCCCCCCAGGCTCGAACGGCTCGAGTCTGGCTCGAGTCCGCTCGGCTCGTGCACAGCACTAATCTAAACATCCCACGTGTACGAGCGGGTGAGTATTTAATCCATGCTCTATCACCCCCCCCCCCCGCAACAGACAAAATGGAAGATAGAGAAACTCTAACTGCCCCAAATCCATCTTCCCAATCCAGCGCGAGCCAAATCAGAGCGGGCCTGAGTTGGAGTTTGTGGTGGCATTTTCGGTGCTGTTTTCTGTAGCGTATTTGGGGGCGGTGATTATCCTATTCTGTGTTTGCGGGTGGGGGTGGCCCGGAACTGACTTTTGAGCCACGATAAGAATTTGTTGTGATGGTCGTCCGCAGTCGTGATACCAGCCGGGTACTGTACAAGAGAGAGAGAGAGACCGGGAGACAGCTTTGCTGTAGGGGCACAGCCAGGAGGTCACCAGTGATACTGCAAGCCAGACGTTCGTGGGTCGCAACCTTGTAGCACCTTTACAAATCTCAGGGGCCCAATCCAATCAGGTTCAAATTACGGATCGAAAATGGTGGGATCGAGGAGATATTGAGATCTAATGCGATACAGTTAGCGAATCCTCTCCACACCGCAAGCCTATAATACGGATCACGTGACCCCCCCAATGCTTCGGGTGCCCCTGTCATGCCCGTTCGCGGCGCTGTTAGCCAAAGCCTGGAAACATATAATAGCGAGTGATATCTGGTGAGCACAACTTGTATCGTAGTTGACATCACCAGACCCGGGCATGGTATGATATCCACCACACCCCGAATCGCAGAGTCGGTATCCCAGTTTCTGTGGCACAACATGAGTGTATTTATTCTCTTCTCCCCTCCTCAGGGTTCGGAGAAGGACCAGTATAACAATCAGAGCCTAGGAATGGACCGTGATCGATCTGTAATCCGCACTTCACCCCTCTTTTGTTCCCCTTGCCATACGGTGAAAAGCTTGTACAGTATGGTTGTGATCGTGACATTGGGGAGAGAATACCTAACCCTAACTCTAGCCCCAATCGTTTTTTATATTGCTCCACTCCCGCCGGTACGATATGATATGATATGATAACTTGACGGTTGGTGACGACCGGGCCTCCGATATCGATAGGGCTCACCTCCCCCACCAAATTTACCCCCCCGACCAACGAACCAAGAAAACAAAGACTCCAAAGCGAACCAGAAAAAAGGTTATCGTAAAAATAATAAAAAGTAAAATGGAGCAAAACCCCCACCTACCTCCCCTCGAGGTTGACCGCATGCGTCAAGTGTCCCGAGTCCGCTTGCCGCGTGCGGCGCGCATTCCAGGGCTTCACCCGCATGTCCGTTGAGGTCCGCACGGGTGGCAACGTCAGGGGCCTGCGGCGCGCAGATGTGATCATTCTGGGCTGCAAGCCACCGATGTGCGCTGATATTGGACGAGGAGGGCATGTACGAGGCATAGGAGGGTATCATAAGCTGCTCGTTAGTATTATTTCTGAGGTTAAGATTGCTTCGCTCAAGGAGGTGGTACCCGGTAGTACTAGGGTGGTTATGGCTATGCCAAATACTGCTTTCAAGGTATGATTGTCACTTATCACCTCTTTGAGGGGGGTTTTTTGTTTTCCAGGTGGGTCAGGGTGTCGGTGTTGATCTATTCACAAAATCATGACCGTGATTTCGGCGGCGGACGATATTCCCTCGGCGGAGCAGGCTCTGGTTTCATGGATATTTTCCCGGATCGGCCGCTGGTTGCTGCTCGGTGAGGAGCACATTCTGGCTTGGACCGACATGTGCAGATCCGGACCCACCTTCTACACTCTTATCGTGGAAGCCATGGCTGATGGAGGGGCCATGATGGGATTCTTATTGTAGCCATGCAAGTTGCCTGTAGAATGGCTTTCGATGGCCAGCATCCGGCAATTATCCGGGAACAGGTTTCCACTCCAGCTGGCTGCGACATCTATGGCTTACTCATCTTGGAAGACAGAAAGGTCCTGTCGACCATTCCGAGGACGGTCCAGGATGCTGCCAATATGGCTGCACGACTCGATAATAAGTATGGAGCTGTTTCTGGAAAACGGATGCATAAAATGGCAGAGATCTTTTCTAGATAACGGTGTTAAATTTCCATACTAGCCCTAGATGGTGCGGTACTTGACCAGTGTTCCCAAGCGTCCAGTCCGTCCGTCCTTGGCGTCAGACAGGACGGACGCCGGTTTCTGGAACTATGCCCTGGACGGACGCCTATCCTATGGTCCGTCCTAACCACTACCCGGACGGACGGCCGGGCCCTATAGGTGTCTCACCTGCAGATGGCCCTGCAGATGACGGCCGGACCCTGCAGATGACGGCCGGGCCCTGCGAACGACGGTCGGGCCCTGCGAATGACGGCCGGTCCCCGGTGAGGAAGGCCGGAAGATGCCATTTGTATTAAGACTCCCGGGCCCGGGCGTCAACCCTTCGAACGGCAGTCTTTATCAAAGACGGACGCCATGCCCTGCCGTCCTTACCCACCCTGCCCGGGATGCCCGGGACGGTTGGGAACACTGTACTTGACGGAATAGACGGTTCCACTAGGTGATCACAGGTGCATGGTTTTGTGATATCCTATTGAGAAGCAGATGTTCATTGACAAATATAGACAGCCCAGAATGCAACGGAGGGGGTAAAAAAAACCCCAATATGGGGGGGAGATCGTGCAGAAACAATCCACAAACACACAAAGGACAAACAAGAAAGGCTGCCCAGTAATACCATGAGGCAACCCAAGGAATATCTCCATCTTTCCCTAAACATCCATCATCTATTCTTGTGGACAGAATGCCACTCGTTCTTGAAGCTCTTAAATATTATCTTCGCAAGTGGAAAGTAGGGAAAGGAAAGGGAAGAAGAAAGAAAAAGAAGAGGGGCAGCGTTCCCAATGGTCGGACCGGTCTGGTCTTGGGGGCTTGACTGGACCTTCAATCCCGATCGATCATGCGGACTGGACTTGACTACCTTACACAGTCCAGTCTGGTCTAGACCAGTTTCTGACCAGTCCGAAAGACAGGATCTGAGAGTAGTCTGACTCCTATTATTTGATGAGATATAGTGAAAATAGAACTGTTAAGAACCGACTACCACTATATGTTAAAAACAATTGAGAATCAGCCTCTCCCACAATGAAAAAACCGGGGAAGCGAAACAAATGTAGGAAATGTTACCAAACTTGACTTTGGATAGGGAAAACAATATTCTCCTCATATCACCATAGACGCCTTTTATATCAATTTCTTCACCTCTAGTACTAGGACATTCCACCATAGGCTAACTCGGTCCCCCACAAATTCAAAACAAACATCTACTTTCAGACAGGTTGGGCGAAACTCAAAGATACACTAACATAACAGCTGAGGTTTTGCGTAAGGGCCGTGCACATTTTATCACTCGGTCCCCTCGGTCTGACCAATCCCCAACCAGTTCGGTCTTGCAACTTGACTGCCCGGTCAGTCTCAAATCTCTCATGGGACTAGACCGAAATATTGACCAGACTACCTAGTCCAGTCTAGTCCATCGCCGACCATTCGGAACCCTGAAGAGGGGAAACCAAGTTTTGGTAGGCTAGGACCGTTCCAGGAGTCATCGGTCCCTGTTATGGTTTACCCTGTTGAGTTTAGCCACGGAAAAGTCACAAAGGACCTGGCGTAGAACCAACTACACCACGAAACCGCTTTAGCAATTTTACTGATAAAATATGGTCCTTAAGACCATGTAGGATGTTGGTGGTTTTAAGGAAATAGCACGTAAAATCATAAGCTGAACGAGTTTTGCATGCAAGTATGATACGCTTTTCCCAGAGTAGGGCATGATACCGCGGCCGACAGATAGAGCAGTCACGTGGGTCTGGTGAGAAAGATTTGGTGTGCATTATCAGATTCACATGGCACGGCTGTGGTCAGAAAGTGCTTCATCTCTGGAGAGTATCTTTTGCATCTTAAGTGACCACGATCATCCCTTTGTCCTCGCTGGAAAACATGCACTGAGCTGGATGGGAGTGCCTGTAAATCAAAGGTATGTTAGAATGGCTTGCCCCGCTTCCGGATTACCTGTGTTTCGCAGCAAATATTGCCTTGCCAGATAGTGGATATCCCAGTAAGAATTTTACAAGTGGGATCCATATACCAGGCACTAGCCCAAAACGGCGAACGGCTGGGGGCCGGTAAAACTGGAATTCTAGAATTGACTATACTGCCTAAATGTGGGGAAAATTACTCGGTAGGCTGGTTCAAGGAGTGCAATTATCAGTGGTATGTTTGGCTTCGCAGCGAAGACACCTGTTACCATGGGGTCGATACCAAGAACATCCCCTGGTCTCGCATCCCATTAACTTCAACCCCGCATTGGTAGAGTCGGAATTTCATCTGAACCCCAAACATCGGAACTCCCGTGATCGGAGCTTCAGGCTATATCTTATTACAGATGAAGATATTAGATTCACGTGGGGTGAGCCGATCACCTTTCCTGTCTTCAGACCAACCATCCTGGGATATCTCAACTTGTGTCCTAATCGCCTAGAGGAATGGGGTTACACCTGCTATATATCAGAGATGGACATGGACAATTTGGCAAGATATCTAGTCCTCGACTCGCCCCTCCAGCAAGAAAAGCTTCTCTCAAAAGTTAAAGACACCAAACACTTGACGGGATACTTTACCGGGCGGCAGCGGTGGCAAGAAAGACGGATGAAAAGGATTATGGAGAGCCAGGAGAAATATACAGGTTTTTGTTGAAATTCTGCTCAGCATGCTCGGCCGGACCCATAGGCCTGGCACCCGCACTCCCACCCTCCTACCTTTCCATCCTTTTCCCGTTGCTCGCTTGTGATTCGTTCGTTCGTTCGCTTGCACGTGGGTCCGCGGCGGGGTGACGGGCGCGCTGGGGTGCGCAAGTGGAGCGAGGCAGCACCAAGGAAGACGGCCGGGAGGAAGGAAGGAAAGCGCGAGGCCGTGGGACGGCCGGGAGGAGAGTGTGCGTGGAAGGAAAGGGAAGGAGACACGGTGTTTGTGCTTTGTCAGTTTGTTTAGTAGTTAGTTTGCGGTTTGTTTGTGGGGGTGGGGGAGGACTTACCTGGGGGGGCGGGAGAGGGCGTGAGGTTAGGTTGATATCTTCCTCCTGTTTTTCCTGTTAGTTTTGTGGTTAGTAGTTAGCAAAGTAGCGCGCAATAGAGAGGGTGTTGATAAGGGAGACAGAGTAGTGAAGAAGAGATTTTTCTTAAGCTGCTTTCTTTAGTGCTTGGTATTGTGAAAGTACTGTGAGGAGTGTTTTTGCATGGCAAAGAAGATTGTGTGATAGAGAATGATGAATGCTTAATTGTCTAGAAAGGAAGAGCGAGCAGCTCTTACTATCTACTATTGTGAGCGAGAGAATAAGGTTGAGCGAACAGTAACAAGAAATGCAAGGAGATATCTTCAATAGTACCAGAGGCCCAGATGTGTGCCTGGGGTACGAATTGATGCAAGGAGAAAAGTGATAGCCTAACGATGCTACAACATCCGTTACTGGTAGTGTCAGAAGCCCTGTTTCAATACTCCCTCGCTTCTGCAATACCATCAGACGACAATACAGAAAAGAAGTAAGGAGACAAAAAGGAAAAACGGAACATCATTCAGCACCAGTAAAACCCCCTATCCATGATTGTCTCAAGGGGGAAAGGATTACTCTCAGTTCTTCCAATAACAGCGAAAAAACAAGTAGAGAAAGACGGAAATGAAAAACCCAGAACTACCCAGAAAAACACCATCTAGATATCGTTTTCCATCCCAATTCCTTCCATATGCCGCCAGTGCAAATCTCTTGCAAGCGGTTTTGTCAGCATGTTGGCACACATCTCATGTGTTGAAATATGGTGGAAGAAGACAATTCCTCGTTCGACAATATCACGGATATAGTGATACTTTATATCTATATACTTGGTTCTCTGATAATGACACGGATTCGAAATCTGCGCAAGACTGCCGGTACTATCGGTATAGATTGTAGTTGGAAACGAGAATGACTTGGTAGGTGAAATTGCTGCTATAAGGTCTCCAACTAGTCAACGAAGCCAAACAGCTTCCTGTCCAGCTTCAGATGCAGCGATGTACTCCGTTTCCGTAGTTGACAGAGCAACAATAGTTTGCTTCTTTGCCTTCCAGGCAACAATGCACTTTGAGAGGAGAAAAACGAATCCACCTGTCGACTTCCGGTTGCCCAGATCTCCTGCCCAATCCAAATCTGAAAACCCTTCAAGAGACTTCACGAATGAAATCTCACTCTTCCTATAGCAGAGGTGAATGTCTCTTGTCTGCTTTAGGTACCGTAGAACTCGCTTGGCTTGCGCTAGATGCTGTAGCCCAGTGGAGGTAGAAAACTTTGACAAAACGGATATCGTAAATGCTAGATCAGGCCGAGTTCCTAACATAAGGTACATAATGCTTCCGACTAAGGACTGATAGAACTGCTGATTTTCTGGCATAAGGGGTTCGAATTCGGGTAATGGGCGAGCTTGGAGTGGGGTCCAAATCCCCTTGCAATCACTCATGTCGAATCATCGTAATACAGATTCCACAAAGCGTTGTTGGCCAATTCGAATCTTGTTCGGAAACTGCTCAATATCAACGCCGAGGAACTGACGTGATAATCCAAGGTCGGTCATCTTGTCCTGGTTGTTGAGAAGTTGCTTTACTGCTGTCGTAGCAGAATAATCTCCGGAAGCTATACGAATGTCATCGACATAAAGAAGGCGAATCACTTTGCGGGAGGAAGAAATATATAGATTGGTATCACTGGAGGAAGGGATAAAATCTTGTGACTTAAGAAAAGAATCAATATCTCGGAACCAAAGGCGTGGAGCTTCTTTAAGCCCTTGGAGAGCCTTCTTTAGCTTGCAAACAGCGTTTGTGGGTGCCCCGGGCTGCAGCCACTCAATGCCTTCTGGGAAGGCCATAAAGACTAAGTCATTAACATTAGAGTTTAGGAAAGCGGTGATGACATCCATCTGATGAATCTTCCAACCTAATTCGATGGTAAGGGCAACGAT